CCCTGTAAAATCCTGTAGATGTCCGTCTATGTAGCATTGCTGGGAGGGGGGGAGGGGGGCATTAGATTAAGCCACATTCTCTTCCTGTAAAGTTCTGTATCAATCACCCCGTACGTCTAGTATTATTGTCCTCGCACCATGATGTGATTATGATGGTCAGAAACGAAACAAATATAGCAACAAACCAAATTAAAGGCAACATGTACATTATTCCTCTTGTTTTAGTTGTACCAATTAATATTCAGAGTTTGGAATGATGTTCTCTAGCTCTGTTGTCAGCTTTCTGTGCGACTTAATTACTTCCCACCATCTGCACAACCTCTAACCGCCCCTAGCTTGTGACTAATCAAGCGTGATAACCAAAGCACAAGGAACGTCGTAAAGTTTCCGTTTACTCGTCATCTCTCACTAGTCACTACACAGATTGCTTGCTGGGATAATAAGTTACTCTAGTTGTTAGGTTTAGGTTACCGCGGGTCACTGAAACCATTTCTGTTCTGATGATTTTGGGTAGAATCATAATTCTGACATTCGGCCTAGACCACAAATTATTGTATATAGTTGCAAAATCCCCCCACACTGTGATACGCGTAATACTAACGAGTACTGGTGAGAGGAGGATGGAATTAGAAAAATACCATTTAGTGAGCTAGGAGGATAAACCCCTGTGTTAAATTTCCCAAGATTGCATTTTCTTACTTTTAGTGCTAATGCATCTGTAGTTACTTTGATAATTTGTATGGGGGCTAGTGAAATGTACCACTTGCCGTAGAGATATGCCTAAGAAGTATCGAAGAGTTTCTTTTTCTGAGAAATCGACAGGAGATCTGTCTATTCATATAGAAGACGAGAGTTTTCAGATTATTATGGAAAATTGGAGTAGAAAGTCCCCCACCGGCTGTAGGAGCGAGGGAACCATACACAGGCAACCCCAAACTCATCATCGCACCAAATGAACGCAAAAGGGTACCGCACCATCACACACAGAACCCCGCTGCTGGTGAAGGAGAGAGAAACCCCCAAACCGCTATGGGGGGAGTAGGTCAAGGCCGCGCCAGCACTGAAGGTGAAGATAGCGGGCCGCAAGAACACTGCACTGTTCAAACCACCTAACACCAAGGCGGTCGACACAACGCGGGCCGCCACCCCGGCATCCACCAAGCTGGTGTGCCATGCACAACCCACCCTCACCACCTTCTGCGGCCATCGCCTCGACATCCACTGCCTGCAAGCAAGCCATAGCGCCACACGACTTAGGCAATCAGAACCCCAACTACTCAGAAATTTTCAAAAAGTTTCTTTCTCTTGCTAGTTGTGGGTGTGCGATTGCAATTTTCTAGAGTTCCTGCAAAGTTGGAAATGCAACTGCATTGGATCATGTGTATCCCATGACCAAATAAAATAACATTTCCATGTTTTCACTCGATTTCATACTGGTTCTTTTAGGGTAGAAAGTGACAAGCAAGTGTTGTAAGATGTGACAATACGAAAACTCATACTGGGTGCTTTTGTGCATGCACGGTGTAGGATGTCATCCGCGTAGAGAAATGTTTCTACCTGAGAGGAAGCCTGTCTGGTAAGCATGAACTAGTAGCGAGGTTTTAGAATTTGGCCAGGAGCTTTGCTAGCCCTTTGATGGGGCAATTTTGTAGCGAGATGGGTCAAAAGGCACTGGGTGTTGTGGCATCTGAGTTTTTGGGATACAATGACAATCGCCCTGTTAATGCATGAGATGCCTGCATGATTGTGGTAGAAGTCAAGAAATAAATCTCGCAAATTCTCTTTCAACAAGGGCTAAAAGCTTTTGTGAAAACCAAGCCCAAAGCCATCTGGCGGGGCTAGCATTCACGTACATGGAGAAGAAGGCATCAAATATTTCTTTGCCCAGGAAGGGGTCATTTAGAGATCTTAGCTGTGGAATTTGTGATGGGTATAGATCTTGCACAGAGAAGTCCTAGGAAGGGGTGAAAGAGGACCCTAATAAGTTTGAGTAGAAATTGGTCAGGATTGAAATTTTCGCATCATGTGAGAAAAAAATCTACTCCGTCTACTATAAGGGCCGTGATTTTGTTGTGTCTCAACTGGGCCAAGGCAAGGCATGAAATTAGCGAGATTTTTCATCTCCCTCTAGTGCAGTTCGCACCATGCCATACTACACCCAGTAGCCAACCTTTTCTCTATTGTACGATGAAGAATTTTGATGAGAACTTGCTGGAGACATACTCATAAGCAGAGAGAAAGCGATCTTCGTCTAGAACATCAAGCACATTGATGACAACCTTGCAATTATTTTCTCGTGTATTGAGAGCTTATACCAGCGGTATAGAAAGCTCACACATTGAAGACAGCCTTGCAGAGACAAGGGAAAGTGCATGATTTGAGCATTGACGGGCTGAGGCCCATTGTGGCCCGATAATGTGGCCAAATGGGCCCATCAGTTTCCACAAGGAAAAAAACATGACATGTGGGATTGCTGTATCAACGAAGGCTGCAACGCGCTAAGAGCATCGCTAGCAAAATCATATTTTGAAATTTGAAAGCGTCAACAACTTTTTGAAAAAACTTGGATCCGTGAACAAAATTTTAAAATAGGAACATTTTTTGAAATTCCAAACACATTTTGAAAACACGAACATTTTTTAAACTTTTGAAAAATAATCCTAAAATAAGAGGATTTTTAAAATTTTCAATTTTGTTTTAACAAAAGTGAACAAATTTTGAAGATTTGGAACACTTTTTCGAAAAAAGGAAAACTAATAACCTATAAAAAGAAAAGATACGGAAAATAAAAATATTTGAACATTAATTCAAATTGTGATTTTTTTATGTGTACGCAAAAAGTAGAATGTGTATGAAATAGTAGACCTAAAAACATTTATAGAAAAGAAGTGCTAAACATGAACCCAAAAAAAATATTTCGAATGTGTACAAATATGTACATAGTGTCTAGATAAAAGTAGGCATAAAAAAAAATACTCCCTCTGTTCCTTTATGTAATGTATATTTATATTTCCCAAAAATTACACAATGTAAGGTGTACTTTTCTTTTCCTCTCACTTTTCCGTGTACGCCCTTAAACCATCCCGTACACGACTTTCATAAAAACTAGTAGGATGCCCGTGCGTTGCTACGGGCTATAATGCATATAAATAAATCAAACTAATGATTAAGGTCGTCTTCAAAGTCGAACCTCGTTTCTTCCTCGTACGTTTGGGCATGTTCGAACATCAAAAGCGCACCCAACAGGCTCCCTAAAATTCAATCGTCTGGATAGTCCGGACTCCTCCAAATCTAGCCATATGTGGGTAAGAAATGTGGTTGTCCAAACTATGAGTCATGTTATCTCAAACACGCGGTCCAAACACAAAAACCCACCACCCAACGCGCCCTGACCTTTTCCTGCCAGACCCTCTCCCTCCCGCTCGATTTTCCGCTACAGTAGGGCATTTTTCACTCGAGCCCTCCCCTTTAAAATCAGATGACGCCCACCTTACCTTCATCATGGTGCCCCTCAAGGAGGAATCCCCCCACCAATCGCCTTGCTCTCTGCCCT